GACATTCGCGCGCGCAAGACGAAATCCTTCCAAAAGCTTAGTGTTCGGAGCGATTTTAACATAAAAACATCAAAAAACCAATGGTTTTTCAACAAAAAAATGTCAAAATCTCATCCCGCGCGCTCTTGCGGATTCGTAGGAAACCCAACACTTTTTAAACATTTCTGTCAAACGGGCTTTTGCGAGCAACTTTTTCGAACTTCTGCGACAACGGTTGCGCACCTGCCAGGGCCATCATCCCTGTCAAATAATACCATGCGGGACACATTCGTTTTTTCTTCGCGCGCGCACGCCGTCGTCGTCGGCCGCGGGGCCCTGAATAGTAGCCACGGTCGTCCGCATGCCACGAAGTGAAGTGTCCGAACGTCATAGGGCGGGAAGCTGGGTGTGGGTGGTGGCGAAGAGTCGTTTGGAAATTTGGTAGAGCTTGAACCGGCCCCCCCACAAAGTGGGGGTATTGCCCGCCTCCTATGAAAACCCTGGCACTGGTGAGAACGGAGTGTCCCCACGTGCTAGTAATTGTTGTTGTTGTTGTTGTTGTTGTTGTTGTTGTTGTTGTTGTTGTTGTTGTTGTTGTTGTTGTTGTTGTTGTTGTTGTTGTTGTTGAATGTTAATTACTAAACAATTGTTATTGTTGGACCCCTGAAAGGCGCACTGGCGCTCTCGCCGAGGCGCCGGCTACATTTTCATTGAAAATGAGGCTCAAGCTCGAGCGGTGTGGGGGACCGCCAAAAACGGCCCCCCAACAACAACAACGCTCCCGCTCGATACCTCCTCCTTTTTTACTCAGGGCTGGTGTTCTTGCTCGCTGCCGAAAGCCGCCGTCCTAACAAAACCAGCGCTCCCGCTCGAGATTTCCCCCCATTTTCCCTGGGACTGGCGCGCTAGTCTTTCTCTCATCGGCGCCGCCCCCAGCAAAAACAACGCTCCTGCTCGAGGCGTCCTCCCTTTTTTACTCCAGGCGGTGCTCCTCCTCGCCGCCGAAAACCGCCGCCCCGACAAAACCAGCGCTCCCGCCCGAGACTTCCTTCCTTTTCACGTTGGACAGGCGCCAAACTCTGTTTTGAATTGGCGCCGGTCCCAGCAAGAACAACGCTCCTGCTCGAGGCTTCCTCCCTTTTTCCTGAGGACGGTGCTGTTCCTCGCCGCCGACAGCCCCCGTCCCGACAGAACCACGGCTCCCGCTCGATGCCTCCTCCTTTCTTACGCAAGGCGGTGTTCCTCCTCGCCGCCGAAAGCCGCCGTCCCAACAAAACCAACGTTCCCGCTCGAGGCTTCATTCAGTTTTATTAAGCTGGACTAGCGCCCTACATTCTTCAGCACGCCGCTCCCAGCAAAACAGCAGCCCTGCTCGAGACTTCCTCCCTTTCTATTCAGGGCCAGGTCCTTGCCTCACCGCCGACAGCCCCCATCCCCACCAAGGCAATCCTGTCGTTCGATACTTCCTTGTGCTTTACCCTTCGCTGGGGTTCCACCGGCGGTCTCGCATCGGCGCAGCAAGGTGCGGGCATGTGTTTTCGAGGCGGGACATGTTGAAATTCCTCGGAGGAGGGAGGTGCTTGCAAGACTTCATTGGGCGGGAGATCTGGGAATGGGAGTAACTGACCCCGCTATAAAACAAAAATCCCCCATGATGTGGATGGTTATCATGATGATTGCATGCTTCGTGTGGAAACATCGTGCGTGAGGGTAAAAAGATGGCTGTTGTTGTTGCTGTTGTTGAGCTCTCACTATTGAAAGATAAGTCTGGTTGATATCCCCACTGGTGACCATTGTGTGTGTATGTGTGTATATGTGTGTGTTTCCCCAATTGAAGTGCTTCACCCGAGGCTCGCACCCTGTTCTTTATAGAAGAAAATCACTCAGGTCAAACTGTGTTGCAGTCCCCCTATTACAACAACAACGGTTCCCGCCTGAGACTTCCTCACCATTTAGCCAGGACCCCGCTCCCGCCTGAGAGTTCCTTGCGTTTCACTGAGGGATCACGCTCTTGCTTAGGATTCTCTTTAATCTTATTCAGGTATCACTCTCTCGGCGCTCTGGATTCGCGCTCTCGCTGGAATTCAAAAATCGCACATGCCCTCGTTGGAAATGAGCTTGCCATGTATTCAAGCATAGCGCGCCCTTGCGTTGGAATTCCCCACAATTTACTCAAGCGCCGCGCTCCCGACACTCAGGCACCCAGGAGTCGCGCTCACGCCTAGGACTCCCTCACAACTTTTCTAGGAAACGGGATCTCGCTGCCCTTCATGGCTCCGTGACAATCCTTCGTGGCCCCCTCGTTGCCCTTCGTGGGCCCGTTGCAGCCCTTCGTGGCCGCTTCGCTGCCCTTCGTTGCCCCAATGCAGCCCTTCTCGGCCCCTTCGCTGCCATTCGTGGCCTCGTTGCAGCCTTTCGTGGCCCCCTCGCTGCCTTTCGTGGCCCCATTGCAGCCCTTCGTGGCCCCCTCGCTGCCTTTCGTGGCCCCGTTGCACCCTTCGTGGCCCCCTTGCTGCCTTTCGTGGCCCCGTGGCAGCCCTTCGTGGCCCTCTCGCTGCCCTTCGTGCCCCCATTGCAAACCCCCCTTCGTGGCCCCCTCGCTGCCCTTCGTGGCCCCGTTGCAGCCCTTCGTGGCCCCTCGCTGCCCTCGAGGCCCTGTTGCACCCTTCGTGGCCCCATAAACGCGCCCTTCGTGGCCCCGCTGTCGCCCTTTGTGGCCCCCTCGCTGCCCTACGTGCCCCCGTTGCTACCCTCAATGGCCCCATCGTTGCCCTTTTGTGGCCCCGTATTATCTGCCCTTCGTGGCCCCCCGCTCGTTCGCGCCCGTCATGGCTTCATACGCATGCCCTTCGTGGCCCCGCTGTCGCCCTTCGCGGCCCCCTTCCTTCCCTTCGTGGCTTCGCTGTCGCTCTCGCTCTCGCTTTCGTTCGTCGTCGTCGTCGTCGCCGTCGCCGTCGTCGTCGTCGTCGTCGTCGTCGTCGTCGTCGTGGTCGATCCCCTGTCCGTCTCTCTCGGGGTCGGGTTGCCGCTGGTCAGCGCTGCCGTTGGCCAGGCCGACGGTCCGCGGCCGCCCCGCCGCTTGCCGGGGCCCCGCCTGCAGGGAAGAAAGGTATACACCCCAAAAGGGGTACGATCGAAGACGAGGAGGGCGGGTATCGAGAGTTTGGGAAATACACGTCGAATGACACTCGAGCAGGTAAAAGCGAACAGTCTTAGCATTAGTATTATTATTAGTCGTAGTAGTACTCGTATTCGTATTATTATTCTTATAATTACTATTCTTTATATTTTAAAATATTATTATGATGATGACTATTATTCTTATGTTTATAACTATCGTTATCCTTATCATTAATGATAATAATGCTTTTTGTTATTACTACTACTACTACTACTACTACTACTACTACTACTACTACTACTACTACTACTACTACTACTATTACTACTACTATTATTAATATTCTTCATATTGTCATACGTACTATTATATGTATTGCTATTGTTGTTGTTTCTGTTGTTGAAAACTGATGTCGAAATAGTGACTATTGTAGATCTCCGGAAAACGGTTCCGCGAGCTTTCGCCTCGACGCCAACTACATTTTCTCTGAAAACGAGGCTCCCGCGCGAACGTTGGCTTGAATGTAGGTGTTTGCGCTTGGAGGCCGGGCTACAATGACAACGGCTCCCGCTCGATACTTCCTCACAATTTACCCTGGGACACCCTGGCCAGAGAAGCCCCCGAACTCAGGAACGGCGCTTTCGCTCGAGTATTCATTGCAGTATAATCAAGTTGGCGGAGGCCCAGCCACGACAACAAGGGCTCCTGCTCGACACTACGCACGATTTACTCCGAGAGCCCCTGGCCAGGAATGCCCCCGAACTCATGAACGGCGCTCTCGCTCCAGACACTATCGCGATTCAATCAAATTGGTGGAGGCCCAAGTACGACGACAAGGGCTCTCGTTCGATACTTCCTCAAGATATATTCGCAATGGCCCTTGCCAGAGAGGCCCCCGAATACATGAGTGGCGCCTCGCTCGAGACTTCTTCGTAATTCAATCAAGTTGGTAGAAGCCCAGACACGGTGACAAGGGTTCAATTTCGATCTTTCTCCATCTGTATTCCGAGAGCCCCTGGCCAGGAATGCCCCCGAAGTCAGGAACGGCGCTCTCGCTCGAGTTCATCGCAATTCAGTCAGTGGCCGACAAGGAAGATATTCCCCCCGACAGGGGGTGCAATCGAAGACGAAGTGAGCGGGTATCGAAGGTCGGGATCTACAACATGCAGGACACGCGTGCCAGTAAGAGCGAACAACCTTGAAATGATTGTTGTTGTTGCTTGCCTGCTTGTTTGTTTGCTTGCTTGTTGTTGTTGTGATTGTTGTTGTCGTTGTTGCTGTTGTTGTTATTGTTGCCCCCCGCGACCCCGCCACGACCTACCCGCGACCCACCCCGCGACCCACCCGCGACCCACCCGCGACCAGCCCGCGACCCACCCGCGACCCCGCGACCCACCCGCGACCCACCCGCGACCCACCCGGCGACCCGCCCGCGACCCACCCGCGACCCACTCACCCGCGACCCACCCGCGACCCGCCCGCGACGCACCCGCGACCCGGCCCGCGACCCACCCGCGACCCACCCGCGACCCATCCGCGACCCACCCGCGATCCACCCCGCGGCCCACTCACAATGCTTGAACGAAAAATCGGCGCCTGCGGCGGGCTCGTTGCATAATTCGAAAAATGAAGTGCCTGCGGCGGGCTTCTTCAGAGCCTCGCAGACAGCAGACGTCCCCGCCGCTCACTCACTCTCATCCGCGACTGCGGGTTGTTACGTTTCTTCTGGCGGGCACCGCCGGTCGTCTGCCGCACCCTCGTTTTGCTTTCGCCGCAGTCCGTCTGCCTTCCTCCAGCCTCCGCCAACGGTCCCTGGAAGGCGAGGCCCTCTCTCGAGCATCCTGCGTGTCTGCAGCATCTGCGCTCGCCTCGTCGCGAACGGCTTCCGACGACGAGCCACCGGGTCCTGAAGGCGAAAGGGCTGCTCTGGAGCCGGTCAGTGGACGTCCCGAGGGAGCTTCGCTTGCCGAAAGCCTGCATGTTCGCCGACGTGTCCATATTCCACTTGACCCTGTCGGCTTTGGCGCGCTCTGCGTCCTGATTGCAGGATGAAAAGGGCGAGCGCAAGCAAGCATGCATGTGCGCGTGAATATTCTATGTATGTATGTATGTATGTATGTATGTATGTATGTATGTATGTATGTATGTATGTGTGTGTATGAGTGTATGTATGCATGTATGTATGTATGTATGTATGTATGTATGTATGTATGTATGTATGTATGTATGTGTGTGTATGTATGTATGTATGTATGTATGTATGTATGTATGTATGTATGTATGTATGTATGTGTGTACGTGTGTGTACATGTATGTATGCATGCATGTATGTATGTATGTATGCATGCATGCATGTATGTATGTATGTATGTTGGTATGTATGTATGTATGTATGTATGTATGTATGTAGGTATGTAGGTATGTAGGTATGTAGGTATGTAGGTATGTAGGTATGTATGTATGTATGTATGTATGTATGTATGTATGTATGTATGTATGTATAATTATATAGATCGTATATATGCACACATATCACGTGTGTTGCGGAGGAACACGAAGAGGGATAGTTGGATATGACCTTGGTGCAGAAGGAGGACGCCGAGGAGCAGGAGGAGAAGGAGGAGGAGGAGGAGGCGGAGGAGTGGGAGCAAGAGGAGGAGAAGGCGGCGCGAGGAGGACGCCAACTTGTCACCGATACCGATCCCAACAAACATCGGCGCAACTGGATGCAACATGTTCCTGCCGTGACGACGTCGATCCTCCGCCCTGGTTTCTGCCATCGATCGAGCCGCTCTCGAAGCGGAGCGCTCTCCGCCGTCGGAAGTCTCCAGAGGTTCTCGGCCCACCTGCCCGTGAGGACCTCGCGCCGCTGAACTCCTTCCCGCGGGCCCCGGAGGAGGAGGAGGAGGAGGAAGGAGGAGGAGGAGGAGGAGGAGGAGGCCACCTGCCCGTGAGGACCTCGCGCCGCTGAACTCCTGCCCGTGGGCACCCCTGGGGGCCCGCGACGCGCCCCGTCGTCGTCGTCGTCGTCGACGTCGTCGCCGCAGTCGTCGTCCTCGTCGTCGCAGTCGCCGTCGTCGCAGTCGTCGTCGTCGTCGTCGTCGTCGTCGTCGTCGTCGTCGTCGTCGTCGTCGTCGTCGTCGTCGTCGTCGTCGTCGTCGTCGTCCTCGTCGTCCTCGTCGTCGTCGCCGTCCACGTCGTCGTCGCCGTCGTCGTCTGCGTCTTCGTCGATGGGGGGGGCGTCGGATGCATCTGGCAGGCCCGTGGCGGCAGCGCCGCCGCGCTGAGGCGCGGCACGAGCCTGCCGCAGCGGGCGCGCCCCGCGGAGGGAGGCGTCCTCGCGGCTGCGGACGCGGCGGGGCGCGTGCTCGGCGCACGGCGCGTCGGGGCTGCTGGCGGCCGACCTGCTCGGGAACATCAGCAGCCTCGCCCCTCCTCCTCGTCTCTCCTCCTCCTCATCCCTCGTCCTCCTCGTCCCTCCTCCTCCTCCTCCGCCTCCTCCTCCTCCCTCCTCCTCCTTGTTCCTCCCTCCTCCTCGTCCCTCCTCCTGCTGCGGGGACTGCTGGGGTCCAACGTCAACAACTGCTGCATTCCAGGGACTCGGCCCTGGCAGGCCGTCTTGATCTGTCGTCCCACCGTATCGTCCAGGGACGGCCTGGAGGGAGGTAGTAAGTCCTCGCCCGACCTCTAGTCGGTTCGCTGGCTCCTGACTCGTCGGAGTGCTAGATCCATAATCGATGCTAGATCCTCCTCCTCCCCCTCTCCGGGGATAACGGGCATGCCCGCGCTGGGGGGGTGTCAGCTTGGAGGTGCTCTGGCTGGAGCGACGCGTTCCTCCCCCTCCTCGATTTTCCCCTTCCTCCTCCCGCCTCGCCTTTCCCGTCCGCCTCTCCTCCTCCTCCTCCTCCTCCTCTTCCTCTTCCTCCTCCTCCTCCTCCTCCTCCTCCTCCTCCTGGGGTGCTTCCTGAATTGAATTGCCAGGCGGATCCAGCCCTGGCGGCGAGACGCCCGCTGGAGTCCCAGAATCGACGGGAAACGTCAGCACCTCGATCCTCGACCTTCGAGACTCGATCCTCTTCTCCCTCCCCGTCCCCCCTCCGCAAAACCGCCCGTGAGCAAGCTTGGAACACGCCTTCGTCGTCGTGCTCCTTCTCGCGCTTCTCATATTCTCACCGTTATTCATCCAATGCGGTGCTTGCACTAAGCAAATCTTACTTCTCTCCCTCAACTGGTTGGGCTTGCAAGGGTTTCGGCTGGTGCCGGCCCATCACCGCCTCGCGCGCCGCGCTGTCGCCGCCTCATGCGCTGGCTGTGCTTGCCAAGGTCTCTCGGGAACGGCGACAAAGGTCTTGCCCAAGAAGAGTGATTTCGACGGCTGCTGGGGCGCCTCATGCGCGAGGGAAGGGTTGACCGAATGGCCGATCCCTCCGAGTATCCGTTGGCAGAGACGGTAGCCATGAATGAAAGACGATGATGCCCTACAATCATGCTTGCCTGTCAATACCTGCGAGCCCCAATAAGGGGCAGCGCCACAGTACCGAGTAGGAAAAGCACGGGGATCGTTCACGCCTCAGGTCGAGCAGGGGGCCTCAGGTCGGGCTGGGGTAGAAGTAAAACCGCCAGAAACATAAACTTTTGGCGCTCCGCGCGGATTCCTTGGATCTGCGCTGGACCCCCCTCCCTGGCGCGCGGAGCGCGCCAGGGGCGGCGCCGGAGGCGCCGCCAGGGGGGCCCAGTCTTTCCGCTCCTTCTCGGAGCGGTCCTGGTCCTTTCCGTCTGCCTCCATCGCGTCCTTGGATTCCTCGAAGTCCCGTCGATGAGTGGTCGCTGGTCCGTCTTCCGAAGACTGTTTTTGCGAAGTCTCTTGAGAGCCTGCTTAATCCACTAAAACAAATGGTCTTCTCTGATCACGTGTTCTCCGATGACCTCCCCGGGCTTCCGTACCACGGTGTCGTAGGCTCGGATCATTGGGCTGGGTTCTGGACTCGGCATCATGTCCAAGGGTCCTGTCTTGAGGTGATCAGGCAGCCTGTCAATTCCCCTTGCTGATCCGAAGTCGATGGGGTCCAGATCTTTGCCTGCTTCTCGGGCTGCTTCGGACAACGCAGACTAAAAAGGCGGGGCCACCAGCTGCTTCTTGATCGTGTTGAAGCCCGCGTGGTACCAGTTCACCGTTTTATCGTAGGACTCGAAAGCAAGGAGGTCCCCACCCAAATTGGTATACCATTCTGGGTAATCGAGCATCCAGATCGCGATATCGTATTTGTCGATCCCGCTGTGGTTCCCGACGGTGGCCCCACTGTCATGTTAGTGAAGTGTGCGCAACGGTTTTTTTCTGAAGATGAAACTGCAAATTTAACCCTCAACCGAAACTAGAACAATACCGGCTATTCAATACCGCAATTCGTGTCGGCTGTTTTGCCAGAGCAAGGTCGGAAAAACAAAAAGTACACAGAAGGGACACCTCAAATCAAAGGATGGTTTGAACACTCGTGATATCGATATTAATATCGATTGTGACACCGTTAATGAAATCGATAGTGGGATCGGAAGTGAGGACGGTCATAACCTCGATCGTGGGTCCCATACTGGAATTGATTCGTGAGATTGATCATGAGATCGACCGTGAGATCGCTCGTGCGATTTATAATGAGATCCTTTATGATATCGATAATGGATTTAATTGTGAGATCGGTAGAAAGATGGATGATAAAATCGGTAGTGCGACCGATCGATTAATATATCGACCAAGAACCCGTGAACCCGGAAACCCGAAAACCCCGCCGCACATCGAAATCGGCCCAAAACCAACAACTAGGAACCCAGGAAGCCGGAACCAAAAACACACGAACCCGGCCGCCCACCGAAATTTGTCGGAAACTTTCGCCAAATCTTTCCACATCCGCGAAGACACCTGCAATGCAAACGCTGATTGGGGAACGTCTGTGTGAAACGTGCCCTCCCTGGAAGACTGAACTACGAATGCCACATACGGTGGATAAGAGGAAAACGGGCTGAAACGTAAGATGCATAGCTAGAAATGATGAGAGGCCAAGGCACGACGCGATGAATAGGTCCGTCTGAAGTCCCAAGACTGCCTCGCAAGAGACCGAGATAACTCCAAGACGGCCCACACGAGCTGCATGTTAGCTCCTCACGTGTTGAAGACGGGAACTGTCACATGTTTTTTTTTTTCTCCCTCGTCGTCCTCATCCTCATGATCCTGCTTCGTATCGTCCTCGTCATCGTCGTCGTCGTCGGCATCACTATCATCATCACCATCATCATCACCACCATTATCACGGCTTCCCCACGCCTGGAGACACGAGGTGTCACACGTGACAGCCTCCCGCGACCCCTCGAACAATCGCCACCCATTTTCCTGGGCTGGCACGGTGCTGGGACTTACCGCAAAACAACTTTATACTTGGTCGAGCATTTGAGTCGACGGCGAGCGCTGGAGGTGGCCACGCGCGGGGTGGTCAAACAGTAATTGCACCACGTAGAATGCATACGCAGCGGTTGCACAGCGCAAATTGCACCACACATGTGTATGTGTGTTTATACGTGCGCGAACACACATAGGTGCGTTATATCTATATATATGTATCGAGGTATGTATTTGTATGTACGCATGTATGTATGAAGGTATGTCGGTAGCTATGTATATATGCATGTATATATAAACTCATAATTGTATGCACAAATGCAGATGCTTACATCTATATATATATATAGGCGCACATCTATACACATATATATATATATATATATATATCCCCCCCCCCCCCCCCCCCCACCCCCCCGCCCAAAGCACGAATGCACAACTCAACTTTGGCCTGCCATCCAGGCTGACGAACTCATCCGCTCGGCCCATCCGTCACGGGCACCGTGCGCGCAAGCATATCGGTTTCGGCCGAGGCCACGAAACACTGTGTATCACAGGTTTTTCTGGTTTTTCTGGTCTGGGAACCAACGAAACACTGCGTATCACAGGTTTTTCTGGTTTTTCTGGTTTCTGGAGCTGAAATGCTCGCCGCGGCCTCGCCCCACCGCTCCCCCACCTCCTGTTTGTCGGCACCTGAAAACCAGAAAAACCAGAAAAACCTGTGATATACAATGTTTCGTTGGTTCCCAGACAAGAAAAACCAGAAAAACATGTGATACACAGTGTTTCGTGGCCTCCGAGCAAGAAAACACTGTGTACTCTTCGGGGACTACAGCGCTCGCCGCTCACTGGCAGTGCTCCTTGAGGAAGGCCTCCTCCAGCATCTTCCCTGTTGCCAGCCACAAATCCTCGCCCCTGGCGCCCAAAGCACGAATACACAACTCAACTTTGGCCTGCCATCCAGGCTGACGAACTCATCCGCTCGGCCCATCCGTCACCGGCACCGTGCGCGCAAGCATATCGGTTTCGGCCGAGGCCACGAAACATTGTGTATCACAGGTTTTTCTGGTTTTTCCGGTCTGGGAACCAACGAAACACTGCGTATCACAGGTTTTTCTGGTTTTTCTGGTTTCTGGAGCTGAAATGCTCGCCGCGGCCTCGCCCCACCGCTCCCCCACCTCCTGTTTGTCGGCACCTGAAAACCAAAAAAACGAGAAAAACTTGTGATATACAATGTTTCGTTGGTTCCCAGACCAGAAAAACCAGAAAAACCTGTGATACACAGTGTTTCGTGGCCTCCGAGCAAGGCTCTGGTTCTGGTTCTGGTTCTGGTTCTGGCTCTGGTTCTGGCTCTGGTTCTGGTTCTGGTTCTGGCTCTGGTTCTGGTTCTGGTTCTGGCTCTGGTTCTGGCTCTGGTTCTGGTTCTGGTTCTGGCTTTGGTTCTGGTTCTGGCTCTGGTTCTGGTCCTGGCTCTGGTTCTAGTAGAAGCAGAGGCGAGGGGGGAGATGGAAGAGGAGGGGGAGGATGAGGGAGAGTAAGATGAGGAGGAATACTTCTCGGGTCACAGCCCGCTGTGACAGACCATGTGTCTGCGGCTGTTCGGTGCCAGCATCTCAAGACCGCGGCTTCGTGTTTTGGGCGTTTTGGGGGGTCGCTGGGGGGGGGGGGGGGGGGGGGGGGGGTGGTGGGGTGTGTGTGTGTGTGTGTGTGGGGGGGGGGGGGGGGGGGGGGGCGAGCATATATATATATATTATATTATATATATATATATATGAAAATAGCTCCGCACCCTGTGCCAAGAGAAGGGGGCCTCCAACGCGGCGCCGTTTTTCCTGCGTGGTCCACCCGGCGGAAAGGAGAGCTCAACTGCGAGCACGAGAGCCGCCGCACGGACGAGACCTGAGCAAAGAAACGACACCGATGGTTTCGCGCAGCCCCAGCGGAGAGGTAGGGAGCGAGGGAGGGAAGGAGGGGCAGCTTGAACCAGAAGCCGAATTAAGGCGCGCTCGTCAGCTG